TTGACATCCCTTCCGGTAAGATATAAATGAAGCATGAATCATATATCGAGTTTCACAAACCTTCATACTGGTGGGCTGCAATGTGGCGGAAGACATTACGATATAGATGCTCTCCTTCAATGCTCTCGAGCTTCATGGGCTATTGTTTTGCGCTTGAGCAATATAATCAGAGGTATTACCGACTATTATCGTTTATTTAATCAAGTGTAGAACAATCAACAAGACTAACAAGATATGCAACCGTAATATCCCGAGCTAAGTGGATCGCCTGCTCAGTATGTGCCTGAGGGAGATGTTCAAACACCACTCGACCTTTCCTATCACTGAAATCCTTGGTCAAAAGGGGCTCTGCAAGTGAGGAATAGAGACGAAATTCACAGAAATAAAGCCCCGCATCGTGGGAGACACACGAGGTCACATCCTCGGGCACCATCAGCTTGTCTTGAAGCAAAGAAATTCATGTGAACATGGTAAACGTACTGGATATTGTTCTTTGACTTTGCGCCAGGCGGCTTCGACATCCAGGGAGGTTGTTAGAGTATCTGGCAGGCCCAGACTCTTCAGGTGATCGGAGTCAACGTATTTGCCATCATCGCCGGGCAGCTTGTATCCGTCCCTGTGTGCAATGGTTTCGAAACGAAACTGGTCGGCGTCCCAACCCAGAGCAATCATGCCAAGATGAAGAATGAAATCGACATGCACGCGTTCCTCTTTCTCGTCGGGCTGAGGCGTCGGCAAGAACATGGAGCGTTTGCCGCTCCAGATATCATTGGACACGGCCCGCACATCGTCGTAGGTGTCTAAGGTGTCCCGGTAGTACTTCAATATCCGAATATCTCTCTTATTTGGTCTCTGTATGACTTCGGGCAGCGCGTCTCTGACCAGTTGCGAAGTATTGTAGTCGTACTCCATGAAAGGCTGGCAAGCGTGAGCCTCGTTTCCATTGACAACCAGAACGCAACTTACGGGGTTCCCCGTCACTGCCACGTGCACTTGGCGCTGCGGAAACATCGTGTAGGACCTGGCGAAGCGAGCCACACTTGCTTGTCGGTCAGCTTTGGGAGAGATTGCCTTGGGAGTGATGCTGGGAAAAGGAATAGCGGCTCTGCCGGTTGTTGAGCTGCTAGCGATGTGCTTTTACAATGGTTGTATATCCTGGAATGAGCAGGGAGAGCTGAAGGCATTCTCCCGGTGGCAGGTTGGTCAATACCTCGCATACACGCGTCATCTTCCTTTGCTTGTGGGCACAGACGTGCACACTGACGCATGTGACAACCCGTATCCAGGCATATCAGTGCCTGCGACAACAGTATGATGCTACACTTTCAAGGTGGAGAGGTTTCAATCTATGATAATGTCATTTGTACTCGTCAGCTGCTTCGGGCCCTCAGCACTCCAGTCTCGTAGCATCGGCTGAGCGACGTCAGACTTCGACCCACGATGCAGCAACCGGCAGCCAAGTTGGAGGTCTCTTACATGAATGTTGCAACACTTTAATCCTTGACAAACATGCAAATCATCTGGGCGTAATTGCTGAGCGAACACCTGGAATTCGACCCAACTATACCATCCGTGAGCATCTTCAAGTGCCCATCTTTTGCAAGATACAACAACACTCGGAGCAGGCGACCCTGGCCATGTGAGTTGAGCGCATCTTTTGCCTCCACATGTTCTTCGCACAAGCTCGAACTTTAAAATTGACGCACCATTTCACAGCATGCTACGCGATTTTTACGAGGAGGACGAGGAGCCAAGCGAGAATTTCGGTGTAGCCAGCCTACTGGGCGAGGTCATACTATCCTACACCTTGCTCTTCAGAGCTGATCAGCGATCTCGGAAGTTGTATCAGCGCCATGAGCGCGTGAGAGCGTCGTTGGCCAGGACAGCTCAGAGGCAGGCAGGCAGAGACTAATAATCCATAATCTAGAAGGTTTGAATAAGTCAAATATGAAAAGAGCAAAAGTCGATAGGCAAGGGTTGGAAAATGTGCCTTTGTGGCAGTGTATGCAACGGAGAGGGCGAAGGCTTGTGTGCATCTGCCGAACTTTATTCTAGGGCTGGGCCTCGCGCCAGATCACGTATTTCTGGCACAGCCAACAGGTGATTCTGACGATCCCTTCATCGCTTGGCTCCGTTCCTTCGTCCTGCGGGCACTAGGGCTACCATCATTGCTCGCATGCACTCTTGTTCTTTTTTCCTCACTGCATGCACGTACTCCATCATGGTGTATCATCTACACTTGATTCAATGCTCAATTTCTCTTAGGATATACTCTCTTGACCCCTATAAGAATGTACTAAACAATTTATGATCGATCATCTTCCTTGAAATGCTCCGGCCACGATGTGCGGAAATGGTAGGTGGCGCCAATGTCTGTAATCTCCTGTACCTCTTCCTGTGTCAGATGAATCTTCAAGGCCTCTGCATATTCATTAAGCCGTTCTACCTTGGTTGCGGTGGTGACAGCAATGATGTTGTTCTGTATAATCCAGCGAATAAGCACGGCAGCCTCGGTGGTATCATGGGCTTTGGCGATGCGGGCCAATGGCTCGCGGAGCGGCCCGTCGGGAGCTCGAAAGGCCGGGGTCAGTCCTTTGAAAGAGCCAACTTGAATGCCATTTTGGAGGAGCCATGGGACATAGTCATTTCCACGCTGAAGGTAGGCATGGAACTCTATCTGGTTGAGAGCAGGTGGGATCTTGGCACCCCGAAGTGTTGCCTCGACGTCCGGCCTGAGGTAGTTGCTCACTCCAATGGACCTGGCCTTGCCGGATAGCTGGATCGCCTCCATGGATTTCCACGCGCGCTGGAAGTCGGCCTCGGACTTGGCAAAGAACGGGATGTGAATAAGGTACCTATGTGTGGCATTAGCCCTGGAAAGCAAACCCAACTGCTCAGAAGCCCGCTGGACCTACATATCATAATACTCGATATGCATCTTTCGGAGGCTCTTGTCGATAGCGGCTGGTATGTCGTCGATGCCCTGGGCAACCTTGTTGGTGATGAAGAGCTGCTCGCGAGGAACGCCTGACTCCTTGATGGCGATGCCAACCTCTTCTTCAGTTCCATACATTTCTGCGCAGTCCAGGTGATGAAAGCCCTTTTGGATGGCGGCCTTGGTCAAGTCGACTAGATTTTGGTTGAAGGCCACATCGCCGACTTCCTTGAACCAAGCCGTTCCCGTGCCAAAAGCCAGCTGCATGGATTTATCAGCCGAGGTTGGTGACAGGCACACCTGTGGTTTGAATGGGAGACGAAGACTCACCAAGGGGATACTGTTGCCGTCGCGAAGGGGTAGCGTTGGGATGTCCATGTTTCTTGCGGAACGAGGTAGGCGAGGGACGGCCAATGTGTTTACAAGGCGACCGAGGGACTGGTAGGGTGTATACAGGCCTGGGTTCTGTCGGTGGTGGGAAGGAACATGGAGACGTAACCTTGGTAGGCATTCTGGGCCAGTGGTTATGGTATCTGGCCTTGGCGTAGTGGAAGAATCCCGGTCGGAGTTGGAAGAAGGATCTACCGACTTAGAGGGATATGGGCATGGCATGTCAAACCGTGTGGCGGTTCAATGTAGGAAGCTGGAATTTTTAGGCCAAATCAAGGCCTTGAAACGAGTATAAACAGTAAGCTATTAACAGAGGACTAAACAAGCCTATCAAGGTGGGCCAATCGCTCCAAAGGACTGATCCCTCGCTCCTGTAGGGCTATCAGTCCTGCGAGTCGTGCCTTGCCATGGGGGGCTTTATTGTTCATGTACAGGTCTTTGTTCACGAAATACCCACCACAAATCCAGCCCATCACGGTACTGCTGGAGACAGCTATTCCAGAAACAGTCATCGTACCTGAAGAGCAGTTTGCTCGTAGCCTTTGAAAACATGTTTGCATCCTCTAATGCCCATGCGGCGAGGGCCACCTCCCAAACGAAGCGCGGCTCCCATCCGAGCGCGGCCTCCATCCACACCGCCAGGCGGGCGCCGAGCCTGGGCAGAAACTGATGCCTTTTGATGCAGAGAGCAATCTGCACGAGCGAGAGGGGCGTGGTACGCTCAAAGGTCACCACGGATGGATCCTCGACCGCGCGAAGGACGAATTCCATGGTGGCGGGCCGGTCCTCGGGGCATCGAATCTGCACCCAACCCTTCTGCGCAATTTCATGCCCTTCTGGCGCGACGGGGGAGAGCCTGTACGCCCAGGCGCTGGAAGCTTGCCTCAAAATGCACGAGTGGAAGTGAAGTTTGCTCATGCTGGAGCCAACAGCGAAGATGACGTCTGGCACCGTGGGCGCTGTGCAGGCTTCGCCGTCGGTCCTGGGTTGCTTTGTGGGCTTTCTGTTCTCCATGTCATGGTCGTCCATGTCTCCGCGACCGCGCTTGCGAGAGTTCGAGAAGCCATGTGGTAGTGGTAGCTGCGACATTGTATGGCGGTGCCGGCGAGGATTCTGATGAAGGTTTTGCGTGCCAAATAGCACAAGGAAAGATAGCAGGACTCGCGGCTATATAGAGAATAGTTTCAAAGTACGGGCTACTCACGTAAAACTTGTTGATAGTGTGAATCAACGGCATGTGCTCAATACAGTTGCCTTTGTTCAAGTGCCAAAGCCTTGTACACAGGTTTCACTGATCCAAGTAGCAACCGGAAATCAGGACCAAGCCCACAAGCAACCTTGTTAGCTCTTGTAAAGCATATTTGTCTCTACAATAATTAACATTTCATCTCACACCATTTCATTTGGCGGCCATGCCCATAGCCATACAAGCCTTCACACATGTAGTCAGGAGCTCTGACAATACGCACCAGTTCCATAACAACCACTCTCCAATCGCACCAAATGGCATCTAACCTGCATGCTCCGGACAGAAACCAACACAGGGACCGCAACAGCCTCAACAACCGCATCCTCCGACCAGCGCTGACAATTGGGGCGTTTTGCGTTTTCCACCTCAGCGTCCATAAGCAGCATTAAGAACGCAGGGATTCAACAGGTGGCCTACTAGGTTCTTGCCGTGGTGGCGCAATTGGCTAGCGCGTACGGCTTTTAACCGTAATGTTGCGGGTTCGAGTCCCGTCCATGGCGAAACGTATCAACTATGGACTCAGCGGCCTTTTTGCGGTGGGCGATATTTTTTGTTCTTGTTTTCTTTTCTTATTACGTCATTGAAGTCCACCACATAGCTGTACATCATTGTCATTGAAGTTGTTCTGTGGTGCTCATTTTTGTACGTCCAGAATGCGGTGTCCACTGTATGAAGCCATCGCCAAGTTGTCACGCACTGTAGACCCGCCTGTTGTGTCTTGTTTCATTGCATGCTGTTGAACGAATCACGATATCTGAACCGTTGCCCCTCACCCCGCCATAACAGCTGTAAACAGACATATCACGTAGAATTCGCACTGTCTCACACTCATTCATTTTTTCCATCATTACTGCTCTTCTTGACAGCTCCGTGCACCATCATCATGGAGGACCAAGTTCAGAGACTGGTCGACAAGGCCTGGAAGAAATTCGAGGCCACTCCTCCGAACCAGCGGCTACGTAAGAGCTCCCCCACCTAACGACATTTCCCCAGTGCTGATATTGACTCCCAGTTATTGGCGTCGCCGGTATCCCAGGATCAGGTGTGTGCCAATTCACTACACCAGCTACGGCTTTACCCGCCTAACCATCCCAGGCAAAACAACGCTCTCGCAAATCGTCACGCAGCGTCTCAACAACCATGCCCTAAAACTCGACCCATCCTCCCCTCCTCCCGCCACCTTCCTCCCCATGGACGGCTTCCACCTCACGCGCGCCGCCCTCTCGGCCATGCCGGACCCGGAGACGGCGCACGCCCGCCGCGGCGCAGTCTTCACCTTTGACGGCCCCAAGTTCCTCGCCCTCATGCAGGCCTTACGCCTCGCTCCCGGCGACGCCCCCATCCTCGCACCATCCTTTGACCACGCCGTCAAGGACCCCAAGGAGGACGACATTGCCGTCCTGCCCACGCACCGCATCGTCGTGCTCGAGGGCAACTACCTCGCTCTCGACCAGGATGTGTGGCGCGATGCGGCGGCCCTGCTCGACGAGAAGTGGTTCGTAGACGTCGACTTTGAGGTCGCGAGGAAGAGACTGCGCGAGAGGCATGTGAGGGCTGGCATCGCCACGGATCTAGAGGATGGCGATCGCAGGGCGGTGCAGAATGATCTGGTCAATGGGCGGGTAATTGTCGAGGATAGACTGCCTGTCGACGAGGTCATCCAGAGCAGAGAAGACGGCACCTGGGTGCATGAATGAGTTTCCATTGCAAGGAGCCAGCCTTTGTTTGTCTTTTTGGACCAGATGCTCAATCTAAAGAAAGATATACCATCATCAGAAATTGCAGGGTAGCAATAGACAAGAAGAAGAAGACTACGGATATCTAAACAAGAAAAATCAAGCACACCTGCCGCTCGCTATTCAAAGCACCGATCAAATGCTCATGACCTTTCCTTCGCCCGCTGGTTCATCTCGCTGGCCATGCTCAGCCCCGTCCCCTTCCTCTGCGACAAGGCGCGGTTCCAGAGCTTCAGGTCCTTGACGGGCTGGCCCTGCCCGTCGAGGCCGAGAATCTCCATCAGCTCCGGGATCTCGGCGTGGTCCCTCGTCGTCTTCATCCGGTGGCACCACGTGATCCTCTTCTCCTCGGCGTGGCGGTCGACCGCCTCCTGCTCCCCTGCCATGTCCAACGCCGGGTGCTGGATCTGCTTGTTCTTCTCGTCCTGCGGCGTCGTGATGGGCGTGTCGATGTGCAGCGGCTCGAAGAGGAACTCGCCGCCGACCTGGGCAAAGTTGCCCGACTTGAGGGCCTTGCCCTTGGGGATCTGCTTGAGCGCCTTGGCGAAGCTCTCGATGGCGCCCCAGGCCAGCGACTTCTTCATGTAGGCCGGGCGCGACCCGGCGTCCCACGTCCTGGTCATGTCAAAGGCCTGGAAGAGAGAGCGCTTCGGGTCCGTGTAGATGGGGAAGGGGCACTTGGTGTCGTTGGCGTACGTCTCGATCAGGCTGGGGTCGCCGCAGCCGATGACAGTGATGAAGGTGCTGACGGGGAGTCGGAGCAGCATCTCGGGGGTGATGGACTCGGACAACGTGCGCAGGTAGTCCTGGCAGTTCTACAGTGTGGTTAGCCAGGCCAGTGCCGTTGAGGTATCATTATACGCACGCCGCAGAAGAAATGTCGGACAAAGATGGCGAGCACACGCCGTGCGACATTGGGACCGCTGTACAGGCTCTTAAAGGTATGCGATTTGCCATCTCGATCCAGCACAATGTAGTTCTCGATCTTCTTGACTATTTCGGCCGAGGGGAGCTCGTTCGTCGTGGAAACTTCGCCGTCAAAGTCCTCGGGCATGCTCTTGTCGACCCCATCGAGGCTCAGCTTCGCGCCATCAGGCTTCGATGTTGACGTTTCGCTCGCGGCTTCGGCAGGCTTGGGCGTCTCTGTCGGTGGTGCTGTCTCGGGTGGCGGCGTCGGGTTGGTGGTGACGTCGGTGGACGGAGCAGGCACGGCCTCGCTCGCGGTCGAGTCTTTGGGGACTTCAGTCGCAACTTGGGCGTCGGGGACAGTGTCGGGGGCTGCAGTGGCCGCAGGAGGTGCTTTGGGATCAGCCATGGCTATAATGTGCTGAATGTAGGAGAGCCTTCGGTTGTGAGGTTGCCAAGAGGATGTGATTCCATCAGCAGATGGAAGGTGGGCGCCAACCAGGATTATTATATTAGCTGGTTCTCGCTAGCAACTAGGCCAGGGGGTCCTTTAGCTGTTGGTGCACTGACGATGCGCGCTCTCCACTGACCGTCCAGCCAACAGCCCCCATTCAGGGTTTTTGTCTGGACTGGCCGAACTTGTATTACTGCACCATTTTCAGGGACACGATGAAGAAGTTGGTTGATTGTGGACCCGAGATCATTCCCGCTTCATCTTACTCTCCCTGGATTTATAGTAAATCCCTGTTCATACATAATTGTACTCTGTAGGTCTTATGATATTATCCCAAGTATCAATCTGCCCACGTTACGTCACTGCGCTCCAGTGGGGTTGCTGGTCCCTGAACCGACCATTTTCGCACAAGATCGCTGAGCCAATGGACGAGCCCAGCTATTTCATTTTGCACCAGGCTAGGCACTTCAATTTTCCCTCAGCCGCCGATCCATCAGGCTGTCACACTTCACGCACTCCCAACCACCATGGAGGACGACGGAGGCGGGCTCTTCAATATCCAAATCTCCGACGACGAGACGGAGCAGCACGAGGAGAAGGCTTCCCGCAGGACTGGCCAGTCAGAATCCGAGTTCCAAGCCGTCAAGCGTGATTATCGGATCAAGGTCGAGAATGGACACGTGAGCAATCCGTCCTCGCTTGAGGTACACAAAGCTGACCAGGCTATCCCCGCTGTAGATCTACGAGCACATCACCCTGCCTCTATCGGATGATTCCAAGAAGGCACAGATCCAGGAGGTGATGCATGCGGTTGAGGAGCTTTACTTCTTCCGCCGCTACCAGGACGCCATCGATCTAGTAAACAAGGTGCTCGATCCTGACCAGGGCGGTATGGTAGATGATGCACTGCGTGATACCTTGACTCTTTATCAGTCACGATGTCGTCAAAGACTGGCTGCTCAGGAATGAGAATAGACAAGATCAACCGGATACATCTTCAGGGGTCGAAATTCTGGTGATTCATAACAAATTCCATTCATCTGAGCCGCTTCCTTGCGCTACCATAACCATAACCATAACCATGCCCTGCCTCAAACCTTCCTCACTCCTGTGAACTTGCCCTCATGGGCCACAGGCGCGGTTGCCCATATTGATGCACTAAGCCCCAACTCCTTCTTCGCTGGTGCTTTGACCTTTTCGGTGACTGTCAACTTGGTCATGGCCTTCTCCAGGGCCTGCATACCGTCAGCATCAGTGCGTTTATCGATGGTGTTGGCAACAGTGCTGACATGGTTCCCTGCATGGTTTGCTGCGGCCTTGGCCTTGGGAGACACTTCCGGGGTAGGTAGTGTTATAGCGGCAGGTTTCTCCTGCGCTTTGGGCTGGACCATGGGTGCCACACTGGAAGATGTTAGCAATTGGAATCACTGTAGACAAAGTTGAAGTACTTACAGCTTAGGCGGTTGGGCCGGGCCTGGAGAAGCAACAGGACTTGGTCGCTGCGATTTAATGATATCGGCAGAATATGTGATGCGCTGCTTTGAAGCTGCAGCATCTTGCGGGTTCGCTTGAGGCGTGTATCCGTGCTGGAGCAGCTCGAGATTGGTGCTTGGAGTGGTGTCAACGACCACCTGAGCAGTTGCCTCATCGCCCTTCTGCTCCTCGTTGTCCTTCTGCCCCTTGTTCTCCTTCTGCTCCTTCTGCGACCCCTCACCGCTATCCTGGGCTCGAATCTTTTGTATGAGCCCTAGGAGCGCCATCATGTCCTGACCCAAGCTGACTGGGTTAGCACTATCGCCCAGCCTTCGATTCCAGGTGGAGAGGACGGTTCTCTCTAGGGCATCCACAGACTCCGTCGTCACTGTAATGGTTCCAGTTGCTTGAAGGGCAAGCTTATTGAACCCATCCAAGTGCTTTTCATCCGACTCGGCTTCTTTGAGGTCCACAAGAGGCTCTTGGCCTGCAGTCTCTTCCTCATTCTCATCAAGAATTGATGGTGGAGCTGAAAGCTGCACTTGAACCTCCTGTTTCACGTCATCAGAAGTATCAGGGACTGGAGTGCTTGCTTCCTGGGGAGCTGAAGTCACTGGCTTGTCAGGAACAGTGCTGACGCATACAGGAGCAGAGGGGGGTGGGAGAGGAGCCGCCAGCACCGCGCTGGAAGTATTCGGGTTTGGTGGAGGTGCGGTCTTCACCAAGCGGTTGGCGCTGGAAAGCCGTTTGAGTCCCTCTGTCTGGTTATTTGCGACCGGTTGGTCCCAGCCGGGAAGAGCCAAACGCGGAACAGCATTGATGTGGTTCATCGGGACTTGTGCCTGTCTTGTGATGGCCTCTTTCTGGAGGTGAGGCTGTTGAGTTGGCTTCTGGGGGAGATTGGCCTTGATCTGGGGAGCAGGAGCCTTCG